AAACTAGAAGGACTATCTTTATTATTAAGTGGATACTGTTAAACTAGAAGGACTATCTTTATTATTAACTGGATAGTGTTAAACTAGAAGGACTATATTATTAACTGGATACTGTTGAACTAGCATTACTATCTTTATTATTAAGTGGATACTGTTAAACTAGAAGGACTATCTTTATTATTAAGTGGATACTGTTAAACTAGAAGGACTATATTATTAACTGGATACTGTTGAACTAGCATTACTATCTTTATTATTAAGTGGATACTGTTAAACTAGAAGGACTATATTATTAACTGGATACTGTTGAACTAGCATTACTATCTTTATTATTAACTGGATACTGTTAAACTAGAAGGACTATATTGTCAACTGGATACTTTTAAACTAGCATTACTATCTTTATTAACTAAAATACCATTAACCAGGAGGAGTTAGAGCTGTTATTAGCTGGATAAGTGATCCTATAAAGAAGCTATTTTCTATACCTCCCTAACAGCTCCTATCAGTAACTAAACAATTTCTAGTCTAATGTTACAGCAGTAATAATTAAAATCACAAAATCAAACTTAAGCTGATTTCACAATTTACTATGTCTTGTCTCAGAGATCTCATTAATACTCACTAAAATATATGTTGAATCTGACAGCTTTAGTGAAGAGTGTAATAAGTTTTACATGATTGTTCATTATTAAAGGAACACAACATATAGTAAGAAAGACCTGGAATAAATCATTTAATCTTACTGTTGTTATAGGATGTTAAAAAAAATATATAAAAAAAATAGTAAACACCTTTTACAACCTCAAACAATATTCTCAAACAAAAATTTCAACTTGTGAAAGAAAGCTCTCAATACACACTTTGTGACCAACATTATCTAAATATACTAATGCACAGTGAATCAACTAAACTAGTAATTGAAAGGAAAGAAAGAACTGTATTTACAAATATCAGGTGTATAACAGGTCTGAACGAATAAAAATCTGATTTATTCGACAACCAAAGTACTTTACAAAGTGTGGTAATTACTCTCAGTACGAGCCTTATAGAATTTGAACCCAACGTACATAATGGCCAAAAACCCGAGCGACAAGACGATCCCACCAATAAAACTAGGAGCGTCAAATCTCCGTGTAGACGATGGAGCTGCAGTTGGAAGCAAGGTAGAGCCAGTTGAAGACAAAGTCTTCTCAGTAGAGGTCTCTGATGATGAGGTACTAACTATTTCTGTTGTGGTAGACACAGTAGTGCTAGTTGGGCTGTTAGTTGTCAAATTAGTCGTAGTTTCTGTAGGTTGCTCAGTTGTAGTCCCATTATTGAAAGGTTCTGATACAGAAGTTATGGTGCTTGAATTACCTACAAAAAGCACCAAAACTATTACACTGGCACCCTGCAACTATTAACTGCTGGAATAAAACTGAGAAAAGTTACTTAGAAACTCAGGTCAAGTAATTATATGTATAGGTGAATGATTTTGAATGGCAGAAACTCAGGTCAAGTAATTACATATATAGATGAATGATTTTGGCAAAAACTCGTGTCAAGTAATTATATGAATAGATCAATGATTTTGGATAGCAAAAACTCGTGTCAAGTAATTATATGAATAGATCAATGATTTTGGATGGCAAAAACTCAGGTCAAGTAATTACATGTATAGATGAATGATTTTGGATGGCAAAAACTCGGGTCAAGTAATTACATGTATAGATGAATGATTTTGAATGGCAGAAACTAAGGTCAAGTAATTATATGTATAGGTGAATGATTTTGAATGGGATCCAAAAATCATTGATCTATATATGTAATTACTTGACACGAGTTTTGCCATCCAAAATCATTGATCTATATATGTAATTACTTGACACGAGTTTTGCCATCCAAAATCATTGATCTATTCATATAATTACTTGACACGAGTTTTTGCCATCCAAAATCATTGATCTATATATGTAATTACTTGACACGAGTTTTGCCATCCAAAAATCATTGTTCTATACATATAAAAGCCTCTCTCTTTTTGTAATGCTACTTTTATTGGTAACATTCTAATTGGCTCAGTGGTTAGTCTCACGACTGTTACCTACATTCTGAAAGTTTGTAGTGTTGTCTACCTTACAAAACAAAATTCTTTTGATAATATTTCCTGTTGGTAGATTTTGTGTTCAAATCCAAGTCGAGTTGGAATTTCCTGTTACATGAACATATTCATGCTTCACCTAAATAAGCATTTGGTTAAAAATATTCAACTTCCAAAAGTGGTTAAGCCTAAATTAGCATAAGTAACTAGAAATGTATACAAACTTTGTTATGGTGTAAGCACCTTTTACAAACTGGCAAAGACAACAATCATAACACATTAGTATTAGGGTTATTATACTTTTAAACAATACAGGTGTAATGTACTGCCTTTCATTTATCACAACTATAGAAGAGTTTATGAAATATATTCACAGTTGAAATCCCTGTCGAATCAGGATTTCTTTTATTAATAACCGACTATGTTTAGAGCAAGCTCTTTGAACATTTGGAAAAACCCAAATAACATGATAGTTAAAATTAGGGATTTCAAATACTTGTCAAACTAGCCCAGTGGTCACAGCATTTAAGTCTCCTGTACAAATCTTACATCCAAGTCAAGTAGGATTTTTCTCTTAATATTTATTATTATTATCAACAAGATCTCTGAATATTCAGAAAAATATTAACAGAATTATAGATTAAATCAAGTATAATATCATATTACATAATAAAACCAGTGACTGTTTGTGTGAAAATCAACTTAAGCATTTTTTCAACCCAATATATCATGCCACAATACATTAATGATTGATGTTTTTCAACTTAGGTTTTTAAAAATTCAGTCAAAAATTTATAAGCATTTTTAAAGAAAAGGTATACCTTTGAGTATTTGCCCTACATCATAAATTTCATTGCCTTTATCATCAAAATTAATAAATTGCAGAGTCAGATATTTGACCATGTAGGAATATTTCTTCAAGAAAAAGTTATCACATTGTTCAATCTATAAGGCTTCATAAAGAAGCAGATTTCAACATAACACACAAAAATATACACAAGACAAAATTCTAATCAAGGACCACTTACAGGAGTTGACCAAGTATATACAAAAAATATTGCTTTCGTGGAATAATAGAATAAACATTCTTAAACATGTGTTGTTACTATGATACAATTAATTTTAGAAAACACATTCATTAAACATTTATTTAGATTTAATATACGGAGGAGAAATAAATCAACATTTACTGTCACTTGACAGGCAGTCTCCTAGTATTAGACAGAAACAACAATAAAGTTTTAACATTCAAATGAACATTACAAGCTCATAGAAAAAAAGATAAAATTACACCAAACTTCATTCAAGGTTTCATAAATTCTTAAACTTCATATAAACTTACTGTTAAAGTTACAAACAATAAATATTCCATTTACTTTATCAGATAATGTAAACAGAGAGTTCTTTTTATTGATCAAAAACTCCTTCTGTTCATTGAAGTAATAACAGAAACTAAAAAGTTTATTAGAGAGCTTAGAAGTGTTTTCAGCTATAATTTGTTTCTCTGCAATTCTCCTTCTAAAATTTGCCAGTTTTCATATATAATCAAAATCAATAATTCATACTCACCATGGTAACATTAAACATGTAGGTCCAATCAAATTTGACTGATTTCATATGTAACCAAAATCAATAATTCATACTCACCATGGTAACATTAAACATGTAGGTCCAATCAAATTTGACTGATTTCATATGTAACCAAAATCAATTATTCATATTTACCATAGTAACATTAAAGATGTAGGTCCAATCAAATTTGACTGATTTCATATGTAACCAAAATCAATAATTCATACTCAACATGGTAACATTAAACATGTAGGTCCAATCAAATTTGACTGATTTCATATGTAACCAAAATCAATTATTCATATTTACCATAGTAACATTAAAGATGAATGTACAAAGTATCATAACAACATACTCCAATGTAATGATTAAATTTCACATACTTACTTTTGAAGTACTTTTCTTGTTGAGTCACACTGTCAATAAAACATACTTTACATACTTACCTTTGAAGTAATTTCATTTTTGAGTCACACTGTCAATAAACCATACTTTACATAGTTACCTTTGAAGTAATTTCCTTGTTGAGTCACACTGTCAATAAAACATACTTTACATACTTACCTTTGAAGTACTTTTCTTGTTGAGTCACACGGTCAATAAAACATACTTTACATATTTACCTTTGAAGTACTTTTCTTGTTGAGTCACACTGTCAATAAAACATACTTTACATATTTACCTTTGAAGTACTTTTCTTGTTGAGTCACACTGTCAATAAAACATACTTTGCATGTCTTGATACCACAGTTCTCTACTCTCCTACCTTCCATAAAACTTACAACCATGACAACAACTGTAAACATCTTTAATAGTTGAACGATAGTGGAATTATATACATGTCCCACTATCAGCAAATCAACACGAAAAATTCTCAATATAGAGAACTAATATTAAACAAACATCAACTACTAAACCTAGCCTTAAGGGAAAACCATTTTAACCCGATGACTACCAGCTACTAACTTTCTTAGTAGGCAATGCAAGTCTTGCTATATTTCATTTCAACAATAAAACTAGTGGATGAATATGTTCGAAACTTCATAAGAACTTTCATAAATGTATGTAGTTTAAGAAACATAAAGCCTATTACTTTTGATAAATTTAGTTTTTTTTGCATTATGATCTTTAATATCTTGGAAAATTACATTAGGAAATGGTATTTATAAGAAATTATTACGATATTTATATTTGTGCCAGATTTGAACTGATTACTTTTATGTTTTAGTACATTGTTCTGCAATTCCAAAAAATTTGTACTGTCCATAAGTTGCAAATTTTATCTATTTTTAATTTTTTAATAATCACATACTCTCCTTATGGTATCGAGTAATATATAAGACCCAAAAATAACCTAAACAATAAATGAGTATTTTTATTTTTAACTAGGATTTCATGTTTATATATATATATATACACATACACACATATAAAAACATTTTAATTTTGTTTCATAGATATATTTTTATTTCAAGTTTATATTTATGTTTCATTGCAGCCCTACTTTTGTTTATTGTGCCGAATAAACCATGGGGTCAGCAGTGTGAACTTTGTACATTGTCCGTAACTATCTCACCCCTGTTGGGGTCACTCTTGTTCAGCCCATTGTGGGCGCATTTCACCATTACTGTAGATATGATAGTAAGAAAGCTTTTCGGTACTTGAATATCATTTCTTTGAAATTTCAAACAAGTTTATTTCAACACATGTCCTTGTATGTTGTTTCACTACACCGAGAAACCTAATTGCCACTAGTGAGTGGTAATAGCTTACAGTACAGGTGGTTTCAATAACACTGCCTAATCCTTGATACATCCTGTTAGAAGAGATTACCAAACGATACAGACACCATAAATTACAAAGAACGTCACTTCATAGCACTTAAAATATTAGTCTGGTCACATTCCTCTCATTATAGGCAAGATTTATGTTGGAATTTGAAACTTAAGCCCTGCAATGTATTAGCACCACAACTGTGAGAATGTCATAGCTTTCCTTGTATTATTGAGATGAATGTGTTTAGTCTGTTTCACAACCAACATATAGGCTTTATTGTTGTCACTTGTACACTGAGTTTTAACACATATATAAAAGAATCGTACAAGAATAAAAACTTCATTTACCATAAGAACCACATACACACCGCAAATCGTGAGCCTTCGCTAAAATCGTGAAATTGGAACACTTCAAATTTCATCTAAGGTAAGATGGGCTTTATTTGTACATAATAGTTATACATATTGAAAGATGTTATGTTGCTAAGGATGAATAATTAAACAAGATAACTTTCTTGAAATTATTTTCACTTTATTTTATTTTAGTTTATACACACACATATATCACCATCATACATGGAGTGATATCTTTCAGTAATATATACATTTGAATTATTGAGCTTTGACTTTAAGAATACATTTAACAAATGTACATTTTGTTTGTATGTGTATGGACATAAGCAAAATCACAAAATATAGTAAAAACTAATTCATATGATGTACAACTAATGAATCTCATTTACATATTTATCATCAAAAGTAAGATATACGCCATGGACATTTACTAATTATGTGTTATATAAAAAACATACATCTTACTTTATTTGATATCCATATAGGTGTTGAGAGACTCTTCAATCTATCTCTTTATTCTTGATATCCAGGAAACTAAACATTAATGCAAGAAATTATTTTTCAGTGTTGTTGTT